CATCTTCAGCCTGTATTTCCATGTCATAAAATGCACATTCTTCATAATCTAAACTCTTTGCTGTTGATATTTCGCCAGTATTTTCATTAAGCTGGAATAACGGAGATTGTTTTTCACTAATTTTCCAGAATTTATAAGCCACTTCTCCGTTGGTTCCCTCATCCGGGTCGCTAGCGCTTACAGTAAGCAGCCGGGTGCCCGGGGGCACGTTCTCTGGGACTTTCACTCGGTAAATCGGTTGAGCAAAAACCGGGGCATTGTCGTTTGTATCCAACACTGTCACTCGGATGTGCAATGTGCTGGAGCGACGCGGTTCGCCTCCATCGGAGGCGACGAGGACCAGACGGTGAGCAGCCTGCTCCTCGCGGTCCAGGGCGCTCTCCAGCACCAGCTCTGGGCTTATAGTTCCGTCGTCTCTAGTTTGCACGTCCAGGGAGAAGTGGTGATTGGGGCTGAGCTGATAGCTCTGCAGGGAATTCAAGCCCACATCGGGGTCAACAGCCCCTGGGAGTGGATAACGTGTTCCGGGTAAAGCAATTTCGTTAATTTTTACTTCCAGATTGTCGACCTGGAACTTCGGATTATTATCGTTGATATCAGTGATTTCTATTTCTATTCCCCAAAGTTTCCCTTTATCCTCAACCAGGATGTTAATATTTACAAGACACCGCGCGCTCTGAGCGCAGAGCTCCTCCCGGTCTATCCTGCCCGCGGTGACTAAGCTGCCGCTTCCCGGGTTCAAAGCAAAGAGCTGCCTCCTACCTCTGGAGACGATGTGGACTCCGTGCTGCGCCAGCTCTTGTGACTCCAGCCCCAGGTCCTTGGAGATGTTCCCCACGAAGTATCCTTTGTCGCTCTCTTCAGGCACGGAGTAGTGGATCTGTCCTCTCCCGATCTCCCCTAGCGTGCCCAGGAGCGCGCACAGCAGTACCAGATCGCCGCGTCCTCGGTAATTCTTTGGAGTGGCCATTGTTCTTTCACTAAGGAATCCACTCAGAATCTTCACTGGGCATATATGTCTTCTTTACCTTGTTGCTGCTTTGCAGATCATCTTATGGAAAGCTGGAGTTTCCCAAATTTAGGGGCGGAATTTTGCTGCAGTCCTGCAGTTGGTTTGTGAGATCTGCGGGTCTTTGTGAGGTGGGAGCCCAGAGTATCCGGACGGTTTTTGGTTGCATTTATCTCCAAGTAGGTGAACAGCGGCGCTTAGAGTCCTAGGCAGTTACTGCACTCAGATTTGTAATATTGCATGCTAGATTACTTAGGAAAAAGTTACTACTTGCTTTTTATAGTTTGGAATAATTTATCTTTGAATTCATATTTTAAAAGTAATTGCCAAGAAGTGTGGGATGAAGTATGGTTAAAGTCTTACAAAGTATTATTAAATGATCAGATTTTGGGGTTAGTGTCATATTAAATTACTCAAATTTCTGGAATATATTTACTCTTTTAAAAATAAAATTTTATTTCTTATTATGCTCTAAGCTTTATTGTTAATATCTTCAATATCTATTATCAAATAAGAACTATAGTTATCACTGGAAATTAATTCATTTTTAGACTAAAATACACCTATTGGAGATGACTGATCCAGAAGTTGTTTTATTTGGTTTAAAACAATTAATATTTATAGTAAGCTTCCTGTAGAGTTGTTGCCTTTTAATATTCTTTTTAAAATGGCATTTTAATTACACATTAATAATAATGTTTTCAAATTAATATTGTGATGTTTTACTAGGATATGTGCTTTTACTTTGAAGTTTTATCAGAGATTATTTAAATTTTATATATTTTCTATTTGAATAGAAAATACTTGAAAGATACAAATGAATATACAATGAAAAGCAAGTTTCCATCCTATTCTTCTGCCAGTGAGAGATGATTACATTTTAAAGCCGACTTAGTTAACTTTTAAAGGTATACATATAATCTAAAGGTAATTTTACCTTAACTAGCACTTTGATCAAAAGAACCACAAAATTATCACTAAGGAGTCAAAAAGTGCCAGTGCAAGAATAAATGTCTCTTTTCTTCAGCAGTTTGTACAGTGGCCATTAACTGAAGCAGTTGCTAAGGGAAATCTAGCAAAGGCCCGATACAATGTATTATCATCTTGTGTATGTACTTGTATGCACATAAGACTGTCAGTCTTGTCTAAAATTTGAAGAATTCAACATGCTATTTTTCTCCTAGAGATAGTAGAATGACTAGAAGACCTCTAGCTATATTAGTTTAGGGCTACAAAAAAAAAGATATTTCAAAAATTACATAGGAGAAGTGTGTGTGACAGGAATAACAGAGGCCAAAACATTGTGTTTTCTTTGATAGAGGAAGCCTATAGAATGAGCATCAATACAGATTAATCCTGAAAAACCTATGCTGCAAGTAAGGAGAACATGCTTTTATCTTCTGGTGAACATAATGAATCTACTGATAAATAAAATGATTTTACACACACACACACACACACACAGAGCACAATGAATACAATTACAGTAGGCCCATCTACATAAAAATACAGGTTAAGAGACGTTATTCTAGGAGTTTTTGAAACAAAAGAGAAGTAAATATAGGAAACAATATTAGATTAATATGGAAACCATTATAGTTAAATCAATTAAGAAAACTACCTAATTTTAGCTTATATTTTTTCTTTAAAGGTTTATTTATATGACTGCCTACATTTACATTTACAGTATATCCAAGCTGAAAAAAAATCACAATATATTAAGCTGTGGAAGAAAAATTTAGGGAAAAATCTCAGTAGTTTTATGGGAGACCCTATAACATTGCCTAATGTTTCCCTTGTAGATAAAACCACAACTTGACTGCTTTGTAAATCTGAGCCTGGTAAGACACCACTGAAAGACACATAATTGCTCCGAATTCAACCTCCCTTGAAGAATGGTATGACAGCTTTTAGACTGGCTACTACACTCTTAAGACAATGTTTGGATCGAAAAATTGTATATAGGCACACATTGGTAATATCTTGAGTTTGGTTCCAGACCACTACAATAAAGGGAATAGCACAATAAAGCAGGTCACAGAAATTTTTTGTTTTCCCAGTGCATATAAAAGTTATGTTTTAAGTGTGCAATAGCATTATATCTAAAAAAATGTACATACCTTAATTTAAAATACTTTATTGCTTAAAAATGCTAACCATCATTGGAGCCTTCAATGAGCCAAACATAATCTTTTTGCAATAGTAATATCAAAGATCACTGATTATAGGGCTTCCCTGGTGGCGCAGTGGTTGGGAGTCCGCCTGCCGATGCGGGGGACGCGGGTTCGTGCCCCGGTCCAGGAGGATCCCACATGCCGCGGAGCGGCCGGGCCCGTGAGCCATGGCTGCTGGGTCTGCGCGTCCGGAGCCTGTGCTCCGCAACGGGAGAGGCCACAACAGGGAGAGGCCCGCGTACCGCAAAAAACAAACAAACAAACAAACAAAAAAAAAAGATCACTGATTATAGATCGCCATGACAACTATAATGATAAAGTTTGAAATATTTTAAGATTTAAAATACTGTGACACAAACTGTGACACAAAGACATGAAGTAAGCAAATGCTGTTGGACAAATAGTGTCAATAGAGTTGCTTGGCCCAGGCTTGCCACAAACCTTCAACGTGCAAAACAACAACAACAACAATGAAAAAACAAAGACTCAGTATCTGCGAAGCGCAATAAAGCAAAACGAAATAAAACAGAGATACGCCTGTATTTTCTTGTGAATATGGAGAACTGTCTAGACCATAAGAAGCAGGTTATACTTACAGGAAACTCACCTGATGGGAGGTTGACTCACTGGAATTACAAAGTGGAAATAAGGCCCCAGATGAATCACCGCAAAGTATGTCTTGTCCTGAACTCAACTGCTCATTACATTTTAGAAAATTAAACTCTGTCTTTCCAGTATGGGCAACGCACAGATTGTAGGAATAAGGTAAAGTTCCTTCACTGTAGTTGGGGGGAACCACGGGGCCAGACTTGACACAGACACCAGGCTGAAAGCAGCCCCAGGCAGCGGGGCTGGAGGAGCGTCGAAGGTGTAGGGCGACCGCCAGAATCACTGCCAGGAGGAAGAGCACCGAGATCAAGGCCAAGGCCACCACCAAGTAAAACTGCAGCTCAGCTTGGGGGTCAGTGGGCTCAGAGTGGTCACTG